TATTACAGTATATATTAATAATATATTATAATTAAATACATCTTTTCATTTACATTTATGGTAATGACCACCAATGAAAGAAATATGCATATGTATGTATGTATATGCACCAGTATACAGTATTACAGGCAGGCAGAAAAGTTACAGGTTAGTAAACAGCAACGTTCTGAATATTTTGTTTTACATATCAGTTTTATACGTTTAAAAAGAATGTGAAACGAATGAGATTTAAAATATAGATAAGTCAACCATTTCTTTAGCAACAACAAAAATATTTCCAGATCACGCTTTTTTCAACTTCAAAATATTTATGCATTATTCATTATTAAACTACTTTTAAAATAAAGGTATCTTATCGAGTAGATAAGATATCATACACTAAAAATATTTATTTGAAATCTCCTATGATATAGATTCGGATAAAAGGTAAAATACAGTTAAGAAGACAGACATTGAAATGTTGGTTTTTAACAGTTGTCAAACTTGCATGTTGTGACGCAGGCACGAATTGTATGATATGACGTCTGTTACGAGATACATCGTTGTAAAATATAATTTAATCGCATCGTGCAAATTGTTGTGATCAATTTCATAGATAAATCGCAAAAATGTGTTGGTATGTTGGTGATATCAGTTGAATATGTAAAAATTGTATTATAAATTAAAATCTGCTTAAGGTTATATCACGATACAGAGGGGTTAAAATATTTTTATAAAAACGAATTCGTGTCAATGTAAATAAAAATTAGCATTGGTACAAATTTTTTGAGTCATGATCGATGACGAAGTTATTCCAAATATGTCGACGTACGATTATTTTATGGTGAACGCCGAAAATGCTCAGAATACCTCTAGAGAGAGACAAATAAAAGGAATAATGTTTTCGGATATGAGAATGATTAGTAGACGCGACTGGCTAACAGTTGGAGTATTGTGTTTTGTTAATCTAATTAACTATATGGATCGTTTTACAGTCGCCGGTGTGTATTATTTTATTTTAATATCATACAAATTGTACCCATGTTTCAAAGTTATATGGTAAATAAAATGAAACAAATTCGTAAAATTTATGTATAATCTTGCAGGGGTATTGACAGAAATAAAAAATGATTTTAATATGGATAATAGCCAATCTGGATTACTTCAAACAGCATTTGTTTTAAGTTACATGGTGTTTGCACCATTGTTTGGATACTTAGGAGATCGTTACAATAGGAAAGTAATAATGAGTAGTGGAGTATTTTTATGGTGTTTGACAACATTTGTTGGTTCTTATATGAAGGTAATATTTAAAAGTTAGTCAATAAGAGTTAAAACTTAAGTAACAATTAGAATTTTACTATAACGGTTAAAATAAAATTATTTCAGTCATACACTTGGTTTCTCTTATTCAGAGCTCTTGTTGGAATAGGAGAAGCCAGTTATTCCACAATTGCTCCGACAATAATTAGTGACTTATTTGTAAAAGATGTGCGTTCTGTAATGCTTGCATTATTTTATTTTGCGATACCTGTTGGAAGGTAAATTTTAATTTTACTGATATTAGTACTATTCTAGATTTCACTTTCTATATAACAACAAAATATAATTTTTATATGAAATTTAAATTAATTTAATTTCTAGCGGTTTAGGATATATAATAGGTGGTGAAACATTCAGAGCTACTGGCTCATGGCAATGGGGTTTACGCATTACTCCATTATTAGGTGCAGTTGCAATTATTTTATTACTTGCAGTAGTAAGAGACCCTATTAGGGGAGAGATAGAGGGTGGAGTTCATTTACCACGTACTTCTTGGTCAAATGATGTCAAGACATTATTACAAAAGTAACTATTAATGTAAATATTATGTATGTTTATAATTGTTTACATTGCATATTATTTTTACATTCTTTAGTCGAAGTTTTATGCTTTCTACTGCTGGGTTCACATGTGTGGCATTTGTTACTGGTGCATTAGCATGGTGGGCTCCAACATTTTTACAGTTGGGATTTGCATTACATTCTAATGGTCATAATGTTGATCCAGATGAGTATGTCTCTATTTTGCCTTTAATTAACAAATATAGACTATTGTATTTGTGAAATTTATGATTCTATAACTATTTTAATTATTTCAGTGTAGCGTATAAATTTGGATTAACAGGAATGGCAGCAGGTTTAATAGGAGTGCCATTGGGTTCATTTTTAGCTCAGAAATTAAGAGTACATTGGCATCAAGCTGATCCTCTAATATGTGCTTTAGGACTTCTACTTAGTGTACCCTTATTGTTCTTTGCAACTATAACTGTCAATACGAATTCTGTCTTATGTTACACATTGATATTTTTTGGACAGTTATCATTAAATTTAAATTGGTCTATTGTAGCAGATATATTGTTGGTATGTCTCTTGCAGATTTTCATCCTGTATCACTCTTACGCATTTGTAAATTAGATACATTCTTTCATTGATCATTTGTTTTAAATTTCACAGTATGTAGTGATACCAACAAGAAGATCTACAGCAGAAGCCTTCCAAATACTCATTGCACATACCTTTGGAGATGCAGGAAGTCCATATCTTATTGGTTTGGTAAATATCTATACATACTTAATTAAGTCTAAAATAAACATTAAGTTTTCATTTTATGAAATTATGTATTTCAAATTTTTTCATGTCCATATTACGTATATCAATAATTTCAGAAATAATATTTTATTCATTTATGTTTTACATTGTCGTTTTGCATTAATTTTATTATTAATAATTTTTATGTCGTTAATTTTTGGTAAATTTATTGATTTATTTCAGTTATCGGAAGGACTGAAAACAGTTCTTCTTTCAGATTTGAGTGTGGATGATCGAATAAAACATGTAACGGATCACGCCGACAATGCATTTATCGAGTTTCGTAGTTTGCAATATGCATTGTTTCTTACGATGTTCGTGGAAATTATTGGCAGTTTATTTTTCTTCCTCACAGCGTTATATATACAAAAGGACAAAATATTAGTCGAACTTATAATTGCAGGTAAGTGAAATAGTGTTTGAATATTTGAAAAAGAAGTGATATTATTGTCTTGGCATCTTATTTGCATGTTCGTATGAAAACTGCTACTAATCAGCTTAATGTTTGATGTATATGTGTATATACACAAGTTGGTACAAGTTTTATAATTCTTTTGAAAAGTTTTTTATTGTTTTGTATTGGGAGCACTTTTTGCTAAAATAATTTCAACAAAAACTAGCACATTATCGCTTGTAGTATAGTAGTTGCAAGATGTACGATTTATTGATGAAATAAATTACTAATTGCTAACAATTAAACGAACAATAAGATTAAAAATATACTTTTAGTTAAACATTTATTATTTATATTAGATCTATAGTAGGGGAAAACGTTGCATAAATTTTTATAATTTTTTAACAGTTGTCACTAATAGTTATATTACAAATAAATATAAAAATAAAATAAAAAAGTGATTAAAATGTAATTATTTTTGCACAGTGCATGAATTATTCTCAAGTTTGGGGTTAAATGGACATATTTTGAGACAAAAAGTAAGGACATTTTACAATTTAGTCTTTTTTAACATGTTAAGCGCCTAAAATTGTTTAATAAATGGAATATAATTATAAAACTTGTTGCATCTTTAACTATAAAAATGTGTGTGTAAATGTAAATTTTATTTACTTAAATTTTTGGAAGCTGTAATGGCGTATAACTTGAAAAATAATGGGGAATAATACAAAGTTGTCCCTTTGTTCCACAATTACTTTTCTAGAAAGTAAAGGCGCTTAATTTGTTAAAGTTGATAGTTTTTTAAAATAAAAATTTTTTGAAGCCAAAGTTAATATGAAATTTGAAATGTACATAATTTATTTGTATTATTATAGTTCAATTTGTATTTGTGTGAAATATTATTTATCTAAAAATAATTTTTCAAAGGGTGACAGCTTTGTTAAATCACTAATAAAATCAGCACATTTTCCTCTTTAATTTACTTTTACACTTTATTGTAAATACCATGGCACTTAATGTGTTAAAATATTGTTAGTATCTATATAGTAGATATAAATATTTAAGAAAACATACAAAAATTTTGTTTATTTGTAAAATTGTTTCAAAATAATTAGTGAAAGTAAATAATTAAATTTAAAATATTTTGGATATTCCAAAAGGGATTTAGTAATTCAGAATTTTAATCTAATTCGTAACAGTCAATATTATTACGAATAATGTAATGTAATATACATGTTTCGGTACTCCTATTTTCTTGTTATTCTGTTTTTATTATTTGACAAGGAACTATAAATAGTAGAAAATAAAAATTTTTATGCAGTATATTATTCAACATATAGTATTCTATGTGGCCTAACATGGAATTAATATGAAGTTAATTTTGTATAATATGCATACATCTTTCTTGCAGACAAGTATCTAGATTCTAAGAATAATGGGCAAGCTGAATCAACGAATTTATAAATCGCATCACTGGGCCTTTCCTGATAGTATGCTGTAAATCTGGTATATAATTTATTTTCTTGATTTCAAATTTTTTCCATTTGATACGATAATCAGTTTAATACGTTTGAAAATTATTATATATATTTTTTTGTTTTTAGTAAAAATTCTAAATTCCAAAATATTTTATTTATTACATTTAAAAAATAAAAACGAAAAAAGATATAATACAATAACGAATTAACTCATGTAATTATTAGAATTAATATAAATTATTTTTCGAATATGATATTTCATTTTTGTAGCAAAATCAATCATGTTTTATTAATACTTCTATTTATTTATTATTCTATTATAAATAGTAAACATTTAAATTGATTATCAATCATATTCTTTTCACTTGGTTTCCACTTGATTTCTATAAGTCATATATTTCTTATATATTTTGCATTATTTTGCGTAATTTTATTTTGATAAGGACATTACACTCTTACTTATACATTATTCGTTATTTTACTTCTGTTACTGGTCTTTTTATTTGGTTTTAATGTTGTATGAGATTTGTGTTTCATAAATGATTGGAGTACATGCGAATTTAACATTATAATTTGTGTTACACAAAAACTGATGAAGCTTGCCTACTAAACAAAGTTGTTTTTAAACATATTGCATAAACATCATATATATAAATATGTCTTGTTACTTTTGCATGATAAACAATTGCATGTAAGGTGCTACCAGCAGTAATATCTGTTTATAATATATAACAAAAAACACAAACATTTAGTATTATCACAGCCATTAAATTGTAAGGTATCAGTTTTCTTGTAAATTTTCATGTCAATAAATTATGACAAATTTCGTAATAATTAGATATAAATATATTTATTGTTAGGAAAAGAAGAAGTGACTCTTAATTGAATCTTATATGAAATATGTTTCACATTTTAAAAAAAATTGTAAGTAAATAAATAATTATTAATTACTTATTTACTTAAAATTTTTTAACTTTGTATATGATCTTAAGTTCTATTATTTGTAGATATATCTATGTTTAAAATTTTCTGATATTTGATATTTGATCAAATTTATAACTCACCCTATAATTCCTCCAACAATAGTATCTTTGTTAGATTCAATTCTATTTAATAGATGTAACTATTTTGTTCAATTATTAATAGTATTGTAAATAATTGCTGAACATAAAATGTTATTTGTAACTTTTTGCAGTAATTATTTTTACTGTTAAATTATTGACAGTATATTTGTTGTACATTGCTGTAATAATAGTAAACATAATAATGTTTTTTACATAAAATTAAATTTAAGATACAATAGAAATTTAAATATATTTACATAATTTAAATATATAATATTGCTGATCTTGGAGGAAAATGTAATTGTTTTTTACTAATATGTATTCACAAATATATTTTGTTCCAGATGTAGGTACTTCAGATTCAATATACATATGTAACGATGAAGTCGAAAATGAGACAAGATGATGTGCACAAACTATGTTGGTTGATACCTTAGATATTTTCTTATGTTAATGATGAATAAATTATGTAATGTAGCATTGGAATGCAGCTATCATAGCAACGAATATTTATTGAGTAGAAAGAAGTGTTCATTTGATTTAGAACGTGGAATGATTGTGTTATAACCCGATTGACACAATGATAAAATGTTCCAAATGCAGAACATATACTGTAAAGGAAAGTTTTATGGATTTCGTTATTTTATATTTATCCTCACAGACGTTCTGTTAATAATGTACAGAAGTATCAAACTTGACGAGTACTATATTTAAATAGACTAAAAAGTTATTTAACTTATACATGTATTATATAATTCTGCATATTATATTTTTATAGTAAGTTTCTTCTGACAAAAAGTACGTTATTCTTGTGTGGTATGTAAAATAAATATTTATCGGATATATCTTGTAATAAAATTGCCATTTTGTTATTAAACATTTTCGTACTTGGAGAGTTAATAATTCTGTTCTTATTGAATACTAGTAATTTCACTATTTACGTACCTTACACGTAAAATAAAAACATGAAATAATTTGGTTTAAACATATAATGTAGGAAAAAGCACGTCCAAAACATTAAGTATTTAGATACAATACTTTTTCTAATTTTTATATTAAGCAATTCAACGTAAAAACATGAAATTATATTTAAAAATTGTCAATGCAATTAATTTTTTATTGCAATAAAATCAGTGTGTTATGACTTTGTAATCAAAATCTTTTTCCAATTACTATTTATTTAAATTTCTATGTAGAATTAAATATTTTTATAATTTTTTCTTTTAACTAATTATATATTTTTATATGTATTGAATATAATGTTTTAACCTTTTATAATAACAATGATTTAAAAAATATCCATACTTTAATACCTGTACATTTGCAAATATTATTTGATTATTAAAAAATAATTTATAAAAAAGTTATTATTTCGAAAGGAATTGTTCTGCAATGCTTTCAAAATATTTGAATTGATCTTTTTTAATTATTTTAAATTTATTATTACTTTATAAATAATTTTATTTTTAATAATACATTACAATTCATTTGAAAAGCAGTTGCATTGTGATTCTTTAAAATAATCCTATCTCGAAAATAAAACGAAGGCTGTTGACAATGTTAATATTTGACAAAGATAAGCCGTTCGTTTGAGGCTGCTCTAGACAATGCAAAATATGCGTAATAGTGTACGAAAAGCCATTACCTCTGTTGTGTCAGGATGTCTTAAAGTTTCCAGTATAAAAAATATTTCTTTCTTTTCAAGTTTGCAAGCAATTATTAAACGAAAGATCGAAATAACGCTGTGAAAATAATTGGCGGGAAACAAAGGTGTGGCGTGTGTACGACATTTTGAAACTGTGGCATAGTTCAACAGTTCGAGATTAATTTAATATCGAATATCGTTAGGGCGCCACCATCGGCGTGTTAGAAAATTTAAAAGTATAGAAATCGAAATAAGACGTTTATTCGCGCGATATGCATGTCATGTGTGAGCAAATCTGACATTTCTCGAACAGTTTCACAAACGAAATATATTTAAAAAATTGTTCAGCATATTTTTCAAGATATTAGAAGTTCTAAATAACTCTTAATGGTTGCAGAAGCTGTTGTAAATGTAACGTAGTTCGGTATTACTAGTGGATAACGCGTATTAGTGTATAGAGAGAGAGACGTAAGAGAATCTGATTGGTAGATTACATTTCATAACCGACTAGAATAGTCGTTCAATCAAGATCGGCAATTTTCAAATTTTGCTGGCGACCGTAGTTTCAGTGGAAAGTGTTTATCGGTACTGAAAAGGTTGGTACGATTTTATTGTGTCGTCGATTTTGCGGACAATATCGTGAAATTACTTAATATCGCTAATGTTAAACATCGCAGTGGTGAATGTTTTGAAGAGTACCGTTGGAGGATGTTCAAAATTTACTCTTAAAGGAACATTAACAGAGTTTGACGTATTCTTCATGTCAAAGGTATGATGTTAATTTATTTTTTTTTTTTTTGATAATTTAATTTGTAATATGCATGTATATTATTATCGAATTACGTATATAAAAAGTACTGACGGGATTCATTTGTTTATAAGGCAAAAAGTAATTATCCGATTAATCTAATTTGGGAATATATATGCATATACATGTATATGTACTCACACACATACACATATTATATGAAAAATATCGAATATAGAAAATGATATGAGATAATTAAAACAATTTCTTTTACACCTTCAAAAATCATTTAATTTTTTGTGTCTCAAAAATGACTTTGAGCGTATGTCAATAAATTGAAGCTTGAAATTTTGAGTATCTTTTGTAAAAAATGATACAATGCTTTCAAGCTTACTCTATCACTTGTTCGTAATCTTGAACGTGATGTTTTGAGTAATTCAATCATGATTAATATTTCGTGTATGATACTTTTTCATATTACATAAGTTGTGTAAAGTACATACAGTAATATGCAAAGAACGAAACAGTAACAAATTTTATTCATTAATATATATTTTTGTTTAAAACAAATTACATTAATAAATAATATTCCTTATCGTAACTGAAAAAAATGTAAAAATAACGCTTTTTAATAATTTCAAAAATAATACTCCTTAAATAGTTTATCATAATAATTACAGTTCAATAATATCATAAATAATTCAAATGTAAAACGTGAACGCTTCACATTCGTGTCATTGTTCCATAAAAAGGTTAAATGATCGTACCTTGCTTAAACTTTCGTATTCACCCAAACGTTCTGCTACGACGTCTTTAAGATTCCAGCTCATTACCTTCGAAGGACGAGATGATATTCGTACCCCGTAAATCGAAAGTTCTCGAGCAAAAACTCCCCTACAAATTGTCTTTCGCGGGTACCATGGACGATCGTTAATTCAACCTTGCTGACTCGTTCAGTAGCGACGAATTCACGTGGAAAATGCTTTCTCGTAATTTGTTTCTCACAAGTAGCATGATTTGTTCTTTCGTAATAACGAGATTACTATCAAAGAGCATAAATTTATTTTTCTTAAAGGAAATTCGAACAAAATTTATACGAAACATTTCCTATCTCTCTACAGAGAATTACATTTCTGACGCGTCTCGCGTCTTGCAAATCAAGATGCACGACGTGCTAGAAACGTCACTCGACGTGAAACGATCGAAGACACCTGTCATAAACCATCGATATCACAGATGGCGCGGGGTACATTAAAAACTTCTCGTCCAATCTCTAATCACAACTCGCACCAATTCCCTCACTCACTCAACTTTTTTCTTCCACAAATTACCATATCGTCTCTTCGAACCTAACCTCACTTGCAATCCTGCTTCCAACAAACGACCATGAATCATCCATGCATAGATATATACATTTGTAACCTATTAAATCGTCCCTGGTTTCCAAATACGCGGCACTGGTTGCGCCACCTGGAATAATAACTCGTAACTCGGAAGCAGACTTATCAACAAACGTTGTTTTTCCGACTGTGCAGCGGCCTTGTGTACAATTGCCGACCATGGCGTTGCCCTTAATTCTAAAATAACACTCGCTGCCACTCTACGCAAGAAAACCGGTCGGCGACGTGTTTTTTTATCGCAAGCGTTAAAGTAACCGTCTACTATCTCGTTTGAACCTTATTCTTCTCTTGTCATTGATGTGCTTAGACGGTAAACCATTTCTAGGTCGAGCAAGCTCGAGCGCCTTTTCGCGCGTAATATCGGTCGTTTGCGTGCTCGCTCACGCCCATCGTTTATCTCGCGAGGCTTTAACGACCCGTGGCGACCCGCCATGTTCGTTTCTTTCTTTTTGCCTGCTTGTTCTTCGCGTTGCACTAGCTGCGCGTGCATCGTGTCGCGCCATCACAGTGGCTATACTACTGAGAGGCGGACTTATTATACGCGGCGGAATGTCTGTTTAACGGCGTGGAGAATGATCTCCGGCGAACTAGGGGAAGTTACTAAAGAGTTTGCTCGGTAGTACATAGGTCTGCGTCGTAGGTCGAGATTTTTTCCCTTTTTCCAATTATTGTTAATGGTTCTGAAGTCGTAAAGATTGTAGGGTTGCTACGGATGGTTAACACGTAGGGAAAAGTATTGGACGATGAAAGGAATTTCGTTGGTATTGAGTTCCTTGACATCTTTAATATCACGGGAACAATTTATAGCACTAACACCCGCTGCAAAGCACTTAAATGATTTTAATAAGGATATTAAATGCGAATTATACAATACATCATGCTGGAATAAGCGGCATATCTTGATGCCGTGGGTGAAATTTGCCTGACATTTAACATGTTATTCCATTAGTCGCCATGGTCCCCATTCTGAGTATCGTGAAGAGAAATTTCTATAAATTGTCTGATACCGATGGTACACTATAAATTGGGATTTTTCTTCTTGAATTAAAAATGGATATTTCAAAAATTTGCCTCGATTTATCCAATTTCTGAAGCAATTTCATCGAAATGATTCTATAAGAATTTTTTAAAATAAGGTTTTATTAGGCTCTATTTTTAGATCTGTTAAAACTCTGTTAAAAAATTTAAAGGATAAAATGATAAAAATTTATAAAAGAAACGTATTGTAAAATAATTATAATATTAAGAAAAAATTTCGAATTATCGTTTGGACTATTGACTGTAATTTTGAAGGCACATCAAAATTGTCATTTACAATTTATAGAAGAGTACTTTTCTTTTTTATTTTTCACCTAAGTTATTTAATATTCTTGTCTAGGTATTTCGAAAGATTTCGGAATTCTTGGCAAGAAGCATACCTAATGTAATTCTTACCTCTGTTGAACTTCTACTTGAATTACACGTTATCTAGATGTAACTGGGGTCTAATTTAGACGTACCCCAGACCTACCCCAACATAATTCTATTTAACCGAGAACCAGCTCGGCTCAATTAAACCCAATCTAGATCTGATTCATCTAACACCAGTTCAATTGTAACTAACCCATTTCTGTCTAATTCTAGACATAATTGAAAACCAAACACGCTTAGATATGTACAGTAAACACCTAACACCGAGAAGTATCTGATCAAAGTGCTTCGTTAAAGTTTAATCGAATAAATATTAACCAAAACTCGCCTAAAACACGAGGGACTACTCCGTTTTATTTATGCTACGTTAGAAAGGAATAATTTCGTGATTTTAATTAAAGTTTAACCAGACACCCGCAGCATTGTTACACGTTTGCATATGCTA